CTACTGTGAATAAATGTATTTGTGCCATGAATAAATGTATACATGTATTTGTTTAAGTGTATTTTTCAGGGTTTTTTTCATACACACATAGGAGTGGAATTGCTAGGTCATGTGGTAATTATGTTTGACTTTTGAGAAATGGTCAAGGAACTTTCCATGGTGGCTGCATATTTTGATGGTTCTGCTGATAACATGTGCAGGTTTCAATGCCCCCACATCTTCAGCACCCAAATTTTTAATAATTTTGTGATAACCATCTTAGTGGTATGAAGTGATTTCTTGTGGTTTTGACTGAGCTTCCCTAAAGACTAATGCCATAGGCCATCTTTGCATGTGTTTCTTGGCATGTGACTCTCCAGAGAAATGTCTATTCCAGTCCTGTTTATGTTGGGGCAAAGCACAGAAATAGAGTCATTCCAATTTAATTTTTGATGATGTAAAACCCATCCCTTTTTTGTTGGCCATAGTTCTGGTGTCATATTCAGAATCCATAGTCCTGATAGCTCCATCATAGTATGTGTCATGAGAAAGATTCCACTTCGTTATTTTGCATGTAACTGTTCATCTGTCCCAACGTCATTTGGTGAAGATACTATCCTTCCCTTATAAATGGTTACTGGTACTACCTAGAACCCTCTGAAATGGCACATGAATTTTCAGATCCACTTTTTTATTCATTTCTGCAATAAAAGTGTCCTGGTTCATTTTTAATTATCACCTCGATACAACCAACAGTCACTTGGGAAGAGGGGGGTCTCAACTGAGGGGCTGCCCAGATCCTGCGGCCATATTTGTGCTGGGGTTGTCTTGATGACTGATGTGGGAAGAACCGGCCCACTGTGGGTGGTGTCATCCCTAGGAGGTGGTCCTGGGTTGTATGAGAAAGCAAGCTGAGCAAGAGCCAGGGGGAGCAAGCCTATCAGCAGCACCCCTCCACACTTTTCTGCTTCCGTTCCTGCTTGAACCTCACCCTGTTTTCCTCAGCAATAGCCTGTAACTTGGAAATGTAAGCCAAACAAACCCTTTCCTCCCCAAGTTGCTTTTGGTCCTGGTGTGTATCACAATGACAGAAACGCAAACCAGAACAAAGGATCAGTGGAAATCTGACAGGAATGGCCCTGAACAAGCAGGTTTCTTGGGCATCCGTGCTGTCTTCTAATGGCCACACATAGGGCGGCCTTCCCTTCGCTGCGTGGGTCTTTAGTTCTTTTCGCTGGTGTTTTATCGCTTTCCATTTATGAATATTTCACATCCTTGGTTAAATTTATCCCTTCTCATCTTTTTATTCTTGTGCTATTGTCTGTGGAGAGCCTTCTTAGTTTCTTTTTTGAGTTGCTTATTGTTGGTTTATAGGAACATGATTGATATTGCTATGCTCCTTTTACACCCCAACAGTTTGCCAAGTTCATTTACTATCTTTTATAATTTTAATAGTAAGCAGGAAGTCCATACCATGGATGGAACAAAAAGGAAAGAAAGGGAGGAAGGAAGGAAGGAAGGAAGGAAGGAAGGAAGAAAGAAAGAAAGAAAGAAAGAAAGAAAGAAAGAAAGAAAGAAATAGCCAGATTATGGGTAAGCCACAGCGTCATGGCAATACATGCCAGGACAAAGAAAATTCTGCAACAGAGGGGGGAAGGAAGGGAGGGAGGGAAGGAGGAAGAGAGGGAGGGAGGGAGGAAGAAAGGGAGGAAGGAAAAATAAAGAGAGAGAGAGAGAGAGAGAGAGAGAGAACTTGATTAAACTTCAGTCTGAAAAGATCCAAGAACTCACTACGAAGGTGCTCAAAAGAAACCATCTTAGAAATGGCAGCTGAGTATGCAGAGCAACCGTAAGGGATCCTCAGAATCTTAGCTGACTTCCTGAGAGATAAGACTTGATATTCTGATTTAAAACAAATGAGTCGAGCAGATAACGTTTATAACAGACATGCTCCAAATAAAATGACAGGAACAGCTAAAAATACACAGATGTTATCAGGCAAATGCAAAGTAATGTGGCAAAATTAATAGCAAATTAAGGACCAATTCAGAGCAAAACATATTAAAGAGACTTAGAGGAATACTTCTGCTGACAAATGACACAACCTATGAAGAAGTGACAGACATAAACTTTTATGAACATTGATAAACCACAGGAGTGTAAAACGATAAAAGCCATTAAAAGTACAACACTAAAGGGGACTGGTAACACACATTTGAAATCCTAGCACTCAGAAGGCTGAGGTAGGAGCATTGTGAATTCCAGGCTAGCCTGGGCTATGTAGGACCCCGTTTAAACAAACAAATGACAACAACAAAAACCCAGGCTAAAACCACAAAGTGAGACACTTTAACACATCACTTGGACAAGTCAACCAGAAAGAAATGAGTAAGGAGGAATGGAAGGTTGGCCCAGGAGGTTAAGAGCACTTATTGGTCTCACAGAAGACTCTGGTTCCGTTTCCAGCAACTACATGGGAGGAGGGCTCACATCCATCTCTAACCATTGGTTCCTGGGGATCCAACCCCCTCTTCTGACTAACATTATAAAAACATTACCTTAATAAAATGTGAGATGAAGACAATAGGAAATTTATACCATTTACTTAACAACTTTATTAGAAAATAAAAAAGGCAAAACAAATGGATTTAGCACTCAATTGAAGAAGGTAAAAACAGAAAAATGAAACAAAGCAACAGTCAATTGATTTAAAAAAAAAATGAAACAGAAAACATATCTTAGCCGAGAAATAAAAGATAGAGTTAATTTTCTGAAAGAAACTAACACAAAATTAACAAGGGGCTGAAGATAAGGCTCAATGTATGGGGTGCTTGTAGCACAAGCATGAGGACCTAAGTTCGAGTCTACGGTACCCATGTAAAATGCTGGGCATGGCTATGTGCATCTGTAATGGGGTTAGTGAAGATGGGATTGCTGAACAAACACTGCTGATGGACACCAAGTCTGAATCCATATCTTGGCTACTGCAAACTGGGTCTTAGTAATACAGACATGCAGGGGTGTGGGAGGCTGACAGTCTCCTTCGGGTATACATAGGTATTCTAGTGTCTGTGTAAAACACATCAAACAAAAGCATCTTAGGGGAGAAAGGGCGTTTATTTCAGCTTACAAGTTACAGCTCATCATTAAGGGAAGTTAAGCCAAGCACTAACTTGAAGCAAAAGCCATGGAGGGATACTGCTTGCTGGCTCACTGGGGATCAAGTATGGTGGAAAAATAAGGATGGGGAAAACAGACAGGCTGAATAGATGTTTGTTCAGGGAGAAATAACTTGCAACAGAGACAGATGAACACCAGCAGTTTCCAGTTCCAAGAATGCCTCTGGATTCTCTCCTTCTCCCTTCCAGGAAAGGAAGAGAGACAGCTCCAGGGTTCCAGACCCAGACTAGTTCCTGTCTCCACCCCTGTCTCCACCCCAATGGGCATGGTCAGTGCAACAGCGGCCAGTGGGTGGCTATCTCACCACACTCAGGTTCAGCTTAGCTTTCATAAATAGCCCACCAGAACCACCTGCTCAGGGAATGGCGCCACCTACAGGGGGCTGGATCAATTAACAATTAAGGCAGTTCCCCACGGACATACATGCCTATGGGCCAATCTGATCTGGGCCATCCCTTAATTGAGACTTCCTTCTCAGAAGTAGGCTGTGTCAAGTTGACAGTTAAAGCTCTCCCAGACAACAGAGTCAGTTAATGCTGTTCTCTCTCTCCCTAAACATGTCCTGAATTGGACATTATGTGACTACCTCCTACCCACTTTACCGAGAAAACCCTGCACCCTGTAGGTGCATTTCAGCTAAAGGACTGCAGCACAATTCACCATTGCCTAGATCTGATTTCCCAGCAAGGAAAATGTTATATTACTCAAACTCCATCAACTAGAGTGGATATCCCAACCCTTAACCATCTTACTATGCCTGCAAACATTTTAAAAATTCTGCAAGGAATGAAACATGGTTTTGTCAAGCTCGTCTATGCCCACAATGCCCAAGTCAAGTTAATCATCTTTGATAATATCCCTGTGTCACCCACCCCAGAGATACTTGATAGAATCTTTTTGATCCTAGTCTTTTGAGTACATCAGATATGGAGTCAGGGTGACTGGGCCTGCTGGCTGGCCTGCCACCTTCCTGTATTCAAAATGCTTCTTGATAGATAGATAAACAAACAAACAAAGCCTTATTATACATTAACCAAATGAGAGCAGGAAATCTGCACTATGCAAATCAAATATGGACTCTGTATGACGTGGGGGAGGGGCATGGCATCTATTAACCCTTTGTTCACTGGCAGAACCTCACTCAGAGTTGGGCAGGGCCATCCAGAGGAGTATGCCCAACATCCCCAGATCCTGCCAGCCTCAGCTGCTTCATGGCTGTCCCTGGCCCTGACACGCTTGGGTGAGCACAGACAGATATGTGACATGCACTTAGCTTAGGAATGCTGTATTATAGGAATGCGTGTGATAACAATATGAGTCATGGCTCAAGAAATTATCAAAGACTCAGTGGGCTTCCCAGGTGATTTACCTTCGGGGGGAAGAAAGGGCTCTGGAAAGTTGGGGGGCTATTGGTTGGATTTGGGACTTTCTTTGTTAGGCAGGGGTAGTCCCAGGAGAACTCAGATGGCTCGGGTAATCTGGGGGGCCCTAGCACTGCAATGAGATACAGCAGTCTGGAGAGGAAGCCATGGTTCTGCAGAGGAGGACTTTCACTTCCATGACTAGCGACAGAATTGCTTTGTTCATTTGTTTGTTTAAATAATACTTTAAATCTGTGAACAACTCTTTTGCTTGTATGTATGCATGTGTGCCACATGTATTCAGTGCCTGTGGAGGTCAGATGGGGGCTTTGGATTCTCTGAAACTGGGATTACAACCAGTACTGGAAGCTTGGAATTGAACCCCGGTCCTCTGATAGAGCAGCCAGTGCTCTTAACTGCTGAACCATTTCTACAGCTCCTACCTGTTTGAATAACATTTTTTAAAAACCATGTACTTGCCTGTCTCTTGGCACTTTTTCTTGGGTGTACTAGGAGAGGGCTCAGCAAACTTTCTCTGCAAAGGTCCAGCTAATAAACATTTGAAATAACTACTCAGTTTTGTTATTGTAGCATGGAAACAGCCATCGATGGTACTGAAAGTAATGAACATGGCTGTGTTCCAATAAAGTTTTATTTACAGAAGGCAAATATGGGCTAGATCTGGCCCACAGGCCATGGTTTACTGACCTGTGTCTTAACCAATCAGGAAAGCCAATACATCCACAACTGAGGTCCTTCCTGTCCCTTTCCACACCAAATGTGATCCTCTCTCATTGTTTCCCTACACCAGAAACCCGAGAGTGAGGCTCAGTTCCCCCCCTCCTTCTACTCCACCAATGAGCTTCAAAATCCCATTGGCTCTACATGTCACTGTATCTCAAGTCCTCCCACTATGACCCATCTGCCAGGTGATCCCTGGTCACCATTTTCCCAGGACATTTGTAATTACCTCCTCGATGGCCTTCTAGCTTCTACCCTTGTTCCTTCTAGACTATTTCCCACCTAGAAGCCCAGACAATAGATTCACAAATCCGATCATGTTACTCACATCAGTTGACATCCCTTTTGCATTTAGGATACAGGGTGAAACCTTCTGCACCAGCAAGACTGGTCTCAAATCTCCACCTCCTACAAAACCCTTCACCATCACGGACTAGCCCTGATGGCAGCTAACATACCGGGTACCTTCCCTTTCTGTCACTTTGCACAACAATCATGTCTGCATGGCTGGTTCCTCGTCTTCTTGTAGGTAAAAGACTCTAAATCAGCTCTCATTGGGGCGTCCCTTGAAAGCCACAAGTTTGACTCTTGCCTTTCCGGGCAGCACTCTGCTAGTTTCTCCACATTTCTTACCCTTTGTCATGCCCCCCACATTACTGTGTGTCTCTTATGCTAGGTGAAGGATCCTGGAAGGCTGGCACCATTTCTGTTTGTGCCATGTTAAGCCTTCAGGACCCAGAGCCATGCTAGGTACTAAGGAAAAAAACCAAGACTCTATACTGAATGCGCATGACGCTGGTCACTGAGACAGCCTGACCCCACATGTCACCTCACCTGACCCTCATGCCTTCCTTAACCACCAGTGAAGGCATTTTCCTTCAGTAACATGAGTCTTGAGACATGCTAGACGGTCTTCTTGAGACCAGCCTGCCCATAGTGGAACAGGTCAGGACCTGCACTGGTCAAACTGACCAGTGACAAGATTAGACCAAGCTGGGGGGGGGGGTACACACACGCACGTGAATGTATGCACATGTGTACATGTGAATCTTGTGTATGCTGTATGGAGATCAAAGGACAACCCTCAGGTGTCAGTCTTTGTCAGCCACCTTCTAAAAGCAAAGTCTCTTGTTTGCCACTACGAGCCCCAGACTGGCTGTTGCATTGCCCCGACACATAGCAGGCAGTTGGCAAGCTTTTGTTTGCTTGGGTTTTGTTGAGACAGCATCTCACTCTGTAGCTCTGGCTGGCCCGAACTCACAGAAATCTGCCTGCCTCTGCCTCCTGCGTGCCAGGTAGGACTGAAGGTGTGCGCCACCCCGCCCAGCATCAGCATGTCTTTGAATGGAGACATGTATGCATGAGGTCTGGTGGCTAGCAGTCCCAGCACCAGCTCTGGGCTCCCTTCCCAACAAGTTCCCAGAAGCTGGCCAAGCTCAGGAACAGCTTTGTCCTGAGAGTGGCTGCAGGGAATTCTAATTTGGACCTTGAGGGGTAGGGGGTCACTTGTCCCTAGTCATCCTAGAAATCACTCTTTCATGAAGTACGGAGTTCCAGCCATGGTCCCAATGGGCTCTATGACCTTGGTCAAGTCACTGCCCCTGTCTGGGCCCAAAGCTGCCTGTAAAAAGAGGGAGGTGGGCTCAAGGTTGTGCAGACTTCATTCCTGCCCCTGCGCCTGGTTTGCAGGGACACAGACAGACCCGGCTGAGCTGCTTTTGAAAGTATTTCTAGTCCTTTCTGTGCTAAAATAGCTTCTGGAAAAATGTCTATTACGTCTCTTTGCAGCTTCCCTACCCCCCACTCCTTTTCCAACCCTGTCTTTTGGAAACCACAGAAGGAGCTTTATCTAAAAAAAAAAAAAATACTGGAGCCAGAACAAAGCTGCAGGAGTTCTCAGAGTGTGGCCCTTGCATCTGCCCCGAGAGAGGCTGAGCAGTGAGCAGGGCAAAGGTCCCAGCACTGTCCAGCGCTTGGGCCAGACGATATAACCTCCCCTGACACCAGCCACAGGGCCCCCAGGCACTGCGTGCCTTTGGATGTGCTGGTCCTCTGCTCAGGCCACTAGCCCTGCCACTCTGTATCCCGGCCCGGGTGATGTTTGCCCACTGACAGGGCTATCATAGCACTCCTCCACCTTGCCAGCTTGGGACCAGCACACCAGGCCGACTCTGAATAGAATGGATAAAGGCCTGTCCCTCCCGTAGTCTGCGCCCCATGCTCCTGTGATGTGGTCCTCTTTCTGGGGTTGTAGCTTGAAGCTCATCCATTCCCTTAAGATGGACTGATCACCCACCTACGGCTGGGGCTTGGACCTATAGAGTCACTAATGAAGAGGCGACTCAGACCCCAGGTTTGTCCTACTTTTCTTTCATTTGTTTTTCCAGACAGGATTTCTCTGTATAGCCCTGGCTGTCCTGGAACTCACTCCATAGACCAGGCTGACTTCAAACTCATAGACCTGCCTGTCTCTGCCTCCTGAGTGCTGGGATTAAAGGTGTATACCACCTCCACTGCCTGCCTTGAGCCACTTTTCTACAGATTGTTCAAAATATAATGGTCACAGTAAGCACTTATACAGCATGTACCAGGTGTGCAGGGACCCGTTCTGTGTAAATTTCACATATGAATGTTATCAACCATATGTTGGGTGCTATCATCTTAGACCTTGAGACCTTGAGATGAGAAACTTGCCCCAAATTCAAGACAGACAAAATGGAGCCAGGGACTCACCTGACAGTCTAGGTCAGGAGAACCGGCTGTGGAAAAAGCCATTAAAGGGACTTGGAGAGGATTCTTCCTTTAGCAGTACCACCTCACTGGACCACAGTCCCAACTGCCACATTAAAATTCCTGAGAGACCTTGAGCCAGAGACACCCAGCTAAGCTACTCCAAAAAAAATCCTCATCTGCCAGGGAAATTTGTGTTGGCTTTAAAAATTAAAGAAGCTGACTTGTAAACTTGCATTCTCTTTCAAATTCTTATCAATATATTTTCCTTTTGCATGCATGTGTGTGTGTGTGTGTGTGTGTGTGTGTGTGTTGTGGATGCACACATGTATTCATGTTCATATGTGCATGGGGGCATCCCTGTGTGATGCCAGGGAATATCCTCAACCCATTTTCACCTTATTCAGTGAGCCAGGGTCTCTCAATCAAAACCGGTGTTTGACAATATGGCTTATCTCACCAGGTAGCTTGCTTTGGGGACCCCCAGACTCTGTCTTCTGTGGGTTGGAAGTATAGGTGGTACACCATGCCCACCCAGCATTTACGTGGGTTCTGGGGATATGAACTCTCGTCTTCTTGCTTGTGTGCCAACCACTGAACCATCTCCTCAGCCCTGTTTGTGAGAGTGAGTGTGGTGCTGGGAGATAAACCTAGGCGCTTACACCTGACACTTGACAAGTGCTCTCCCACCCAACCATATCTCCAGCCCTCTTTTTCCTTTTCTGTTTTGAAACAAGGTTTTATTTAATTGCCCATATTAGCCTAGACCTTGTATTCTTAATGACCACGTTGTCCTGCCTCTTTATAAACAGGGGACCTGGGCTTCCTTGTGTGTGCTCCTGTGTTTCTATGCTGTGTCTTCATAGGCAGCCCTTCTCTTCCACACTGAAGCATTTATTCCTGCCACAAACAGAGCTTTACCTTGTGTTTGTCTTAAATCTACAAGTTCTTCTCTTCCCGATGGTGATGCTTATGAAGTGAACTTCACTGACACCTGATGGTAGGAAAGTAGTATGTGATACCCCTCTGCAGACATTCCATACGAATGACCCTCAAGATGCACACCACAAGCAGATTCTATGCATAATCACAGGGACATGTGGCTAAGTGTGGAAAACCTGACTAGATGGCCAAGGCTGTGGAAATGGCTCTGTGGGTAAAAGCTCCTGCCACACAAGCCTCGGATCCCTAGTCCTCATATAAATGCACATGTGTCAATCTGTCATCCCAGCAAGCACTCTTAGGGAGATGGGAAGCAGAAGCTAGAGACTGCAGAAGCTCGAAGGCCAGTGAGCCTGCTTTACACAGAAGTAAAGAGACCCTGTCTGTCTCTTACAAGGTGAACAGGCAAGGATGACAATCGAAAGATGTCCCCTATCTCCACAAATGCACCATGACACTCACATGCCCCCCACAGACAAACAAGAATAAGCAAACACATAGACATCACACACACACACACACACACACACACACACACACACACACACACACACGACAAAGCAAACACCTTGCACAAAGACCCATGACAGAGAACAACACAGCAAGATGCTCTTTACCACCAGCCATCAATGGCATCCTCATGGACAGGACCACGGGAGCATCCAAAACGATTGAAGGTGAGGCTCTTGGGAGAACCCAAGAAGAATGCTCCCTTATGTTTCACTCCCTGATTAAGAAAATGTAATTTGGTGTATTTACTAACATATGACCCAGCAAAATCATATAAATGTCCTCCAGCTAAATGAGACACCTATATGAATGCAATGCCTCGATTGTATATTTCTTTTTATTGACACACAGGAGACCAACATGAAAGTGAACAAATCAATAGCAAACAGCTCATAAAACTTCACCAAGTGTGTGTTTATGTACAATCAGCTCAAAGAAGAAAGAAACCTTGTAGCCAACCCTGCCTCAAACCTTCAAAGCTGTTCTGTCCTTACCTACCCTTGAAGGAAGGAGTTCTCAACCTGAGCGTCCCTCTCCTTTGGCAAACCATTATCTCCAAATATTACATCACTATTCATACCGGTAGCAAAGTTACAGTTATGAAGTGGTAATGAAAATAATTTTAT